AACAAGAATATGCAAGTGCTGTTAGAAAAGTGCATCATGGGCAGATACCGCAATTTTTACCATGGATCTTTGGGATAGTGTTAAAATTAAATCAGCAGGTGAGGAATATCTGTAGTAGTTCAAGTGAGGTCTAAGGAACGGTTCTTTAAAGCTAACGGCTGCCACCCTGTCAGCTTGCAGCAAGGCTCCATCTGCAGTTTGACTGCTCACCCCCACGTTTGGAAAGTGTTTATCCCTCTCCGGCTCCACCTCACACAGTTACTGCACCCTACTAAAAATATCTCCCGCGTTCTAATTCACACCCCAGTCCTTTACTCTTGTGAAAAAAGTGCTGTCCTTACTGCTGTCACCGTACAGGCTCAGGACCCCAGTGGGACCCCCTGCCGTCCGGGTCTCAGCACATACCTAAATGTGTGTTGGTGAGAAAGCTTGCATTCACTGGGGTATCCGCATTCCCCTCCACTCGACTGACGGGACCATCATTCCACATGAGGTCAAAACCCCCAACACGTTTCTCCTTCCCTGTCAGCCTGCAATATCCAAGGCAAGTGTTAAAGTACATGAGTAATGGCTACGCGTAGCTATTTGATTCACTGCCTGCACATTGGCTGGAAATCTGTGCATGGCAGAGACAAAGCCAAACAGCTGAATGCTGCAGTGGACAGATCTTTACTATTAATATCCTGGTTTAGCACAGTTGCAAAGTCAATCATAAAATGATGCAAGGCAAGCTTCTTAGGACAGAGTGCTAGATAAGCGAGACAAGTGTGTGAGGCATGATACCGAGAGAAAACCAAAGGGGAGAAGTGTCTGAGTGGCAGCTGGGAAGCAAGGATTTCAGTTCCAGCCCCAGGACTGGCTGCAACTCTGAATCCCAATCTCCTCCTGCTTTAGTTCTGTGCTCTCTAAAATGGAGGCATCAATTAATCTACCTTGTGCTGGCACTGGTGATTCAATCGCTAACTGTTTGCACAGCTTTAAGGATTGCGATCTACTGTCCGCCCAAACCACGGGACTGGTTCACAGAGTTCAGACACTTTGGTAAGACACTTGGAGACAGTAAGTGAGTTTTCACCCACCTGACCTCCATGTCCACAATGTGCAGCGTGTCCTTGAGAAGCCGACACTTGAGCTCGTAGTCCTCCTGACTGCTGGCAGTGAGGGATGGAGATGCATTAACCTCGAGAAGCCAGCTGTGTAGAAGAGAAGAGCAGAGAATTAGAGGGAGCAGGCAGGGCTAAAGAGTAAGTCCACCTAACAGGAAAAGCCTGTCTGTAAAAACATCACTGCACCGGTGCTGGGCGAGAAGAGTCAAGTGGAGTGACAGGAATCCAACCCTGCGCCGCGCCAGAGGACATGCTGAGCCTATTACAAAGCTGCTTTTCCTGTACTCCGCTGCAATAAAGAAAGTGCCTGCAGCAACCAGAAAGGTATTGGAGTTAAAACCAACTCTAGATGGAACGGATGTTTGGGCTAATTCACAGGACACATTTTAACCCCTTCCATAGTGTGAGCCTGTGGCTGTTCTTTAGCCGCACTTTCCTAACAACATTTGCAGTCTAACTCGGCATATCTCCTGAAGCACACGATACGTTACTCTAGTTTGCCACTGTCATCTCAGCCCTACAATTACATCTGTGACTTTTGTTCCCATTTACCATTGCTAGGTTATTTCTTGATCAACTGAAGTTACTCAAGCTCTACCTGTGCAAGTTGTCACTGCTGCAGCAGTAGTTTGGTTGAAGGCTATGAATGTAGCAGAGTTGATTGTACAAATTAGGATTACCCAAGACTACGGTTCAGCCACAATTCACTTATTAACTCGCTTAAAATAAAGCTGTCCCCAGGGGCACTGAAGAGACAGCAGACTGATGCCAACTGGCCGCTGAGAATTGTGACTAAAATGCCAGCTACCACAGGTAGTTAGAGGGAAGGAAACGAAGGCACGAAAAAGAAGACACATCTTAAATTGTATTTTAAAATGCATTTCCTTGCCCAT